TCCCTCAGCCAGCACCCTGCACAGAGAAAGGGTCTGGGGAGATGGTGCCTGCTGCCTCCTGCCTCTGCCAGCCGCTGCCTGGGCAGCTGCCAGCCTCAGCGCGGGAGCAGCTCTGGCCCTGGCTTCGCTCCTGAGGGAGCATGCATGAGCAAGGCTAGGTGCTGGGAAGGGCTGGGACAGCCCGGGTAGGCTGCCTGCGCTGCAGGATTGGGTCCTGCTCCTGCTGTGGGTAATATTTAGAAACAAATTAAATTATTTGGGACAGCATTTCCACTGGTCTCAATGAAGTTCGCTGCAGTTGTGGTCTAAACCTCTTCTAAAGGTTTGTGATGGCAAATATGTCAGTTAAATTGTCCCTTTGGCAGCATGCTGGGACCCATGTCCTTTCTCGACCCATGGTCCCCCACACTGGGGTCTCCTGGGGCGCTGTCCTGCAAGGTGGGGCAGCAGGAGCTGAGTTTTGCATCTGGAAGGTGCTGTGTGATGGCAAGCACTCCGCACGACCAGCTTCTTGCTGTCTGAAAGTGTGCTTTCTGCCTTTAAATCAGGGGTAGTTCCTGCTTAAGGCACAGAGATGCTCCCATAATAAACATCATCTGCTTTTGAAGTTCTTGAGTGTTGTAGGGAAGTCCGACAGAAAAAACATAGCTCCCCATGGGGGAGAAGGGGCTGGGACAGGTCACACAGGCTGCCTCACTGTGAGCACTGCTTGGGTCCCTACGGAGTCCTGCAGGTGCCCCGAGGGTGCTGAGCACCCACAGCCTGGCAGAGGGAACAGTCGGGGTGCTGGCGGTCATCCCAGCCTTGGTGGCCTTCTCCCACCAGGCTGCAGTGGAGGGTGGCAGCATCCCACTGCTGGCCCGAGCCCTGGGGGCTGGGTGCTGCTGTCCCCAGGGGCTTGGTGCTGCCAAGCTGAGGCTGACCCTCGGTGCCCAGCCAGCCCTGACCCCCCCTGGCCCCGCTGCCCGTGCTGCTGCAAGCAGCGTTGGGGCAAGTGGCAGTGCTGAAGGCGGCTCCATGCTCCCAGCCTCTCTGCTCAACTCCACCGCGGGCAGGGAGGGTAGACAGAGAACCCAGGCAGCAGCATTGCCCAAATGGACATAGCACCAATGCCTCATTGGCTCCTGACTGTGGCTGTTGTGGCTGTGCCCGGGAGCGTGGCGGTGCCAGCATGGCCCCCACCCCTCCTGCACTGCCTGTGCCAGGGCTGTGCATATCTGCAGGGCTCAGCTGCAGCAGTGCTGTGCCCCTGGGGTCGCTGGTTTCCCTGCCAGCCCCATCTCCCTCGGGGCATCTCCCAGACCTTTTTACCCCAGCAACGAGTTTGCAGCCCCATGCAGGGGACTTGGAGCCTTCCCAGCTCGGCTGCAAGCCAAGAGACCGAGGGGCTTCCTGCTCTTCCCTGAGCACGTCCTGCCCTGGGAACATGGAGGGGCTTGTTCCTCCCTCTTCTGTGTTTCACACTGCTGGGGCAGGAGCAATGCTACAGGGATGGGCTCAGTGGGCCCTTGCTGGGACGGGGCCCATGGGTGCTTGGGTTTCCTCTGTGCCCGTGCTGAGCCTTGTCTCCCTGCCGAGGCGCGGGGATGGGTGGTGCCGGGGAGCCCGTTGGCACCCGCAGCAGATGGGGCAGGAGGGAGAGCGTGCAGCGGGGCTGAGTCGTGCTGGGACCAGGGAAAGGGGGCAGTGGCCGGGATCCCAAAGCAGGGTGGCAGGAGAAGCCGGGCCACGATGGGAAGAGGCAGATGGTCCCTGGGGGCTTGCCAGACCCCTTTGCCGGGGCTCTGCCACCACAGCACTCCTGTGTCATGCGCTCACCTGCTTCAGCTGAAAGTTACGGTCCCTGGGTCAGGCTCCTTGCCCATCATCAGAAGGTTTGACCTGGAGCTTAATATGCAAAAGTAGGGCTGGCTGGGAGAGGCGGGATGAATTCCCAGCATGCACCCTTAAACAATCCCCATCATTTCCTCAGGGATCAGTGCTTCCAGGTGCAGGGAAATAATAGTTTGGAAGAAAGTTTAGAAACCTTGAGTGAAAAACTCAGCATATTTTTGGCCCAAAGTGATGGTTGTCATTTTAGAGATTTCATGTTGATTAAAAAATTCACACACTGAGATCCAAATGGAAGCAGTTGGGAATGATCCACGCAGGGATTGGAGCTGGGAACATGCAACTGCTTGAATTTGCAGTGGAAAAACACCAGCCCTGTTTCCTCTGTGGAAAAAATAAACCACTGGTGACCTTTGAAATCTTCTTGTGCCCTCGGCCGAGCACTAGGGTCTGTTAGGAGAAGCTGAGCTTATGTTTCTCAGGGACCAGCGGCAGGTTGTCCTGCCTGTTCTGGTCAGGAGAGCGTGGCCCTGGGGCAGGGGGGTGAAATCCTGTCTCTTTTGGTGTGAACCAAGTCCCTCTGCGGTGACCACACAGCACTTGTACAGCCAGCGCAGCCAGCAGCAGCATCACTGCCTGCCGGGCCGCGCGAGAGAGCTGCTCCCGGGCAGGCTGAGCCCGGCTGCAGGAGGCGCGGGCTGACTCACTCTGTCTTCTCTGCCTGTCCCTTCCCTTGCCTCCTGTCTGTCCACTCCCACCTCCGGGAGCCAGTTTTAGCAGTTTTTCTGGGTAAGGTTTCACACCTCCCCATTGTGCTGAGGACACCTGAAAGGCAGAGGTGGGACATGAGCTGTGGTGTGAGATGTGTTTTCTTTGTAAAAGAAAGTCAGCAAGTTTGTGGATGACACCAAGCTGAGTGGTGCAGTTGATTCGCCAGAGGGACGGGATGCCGTCCAGAGGGACCTTGACAGGCTGGAGAAGTGGGCCTGGGTGAACCTCATGAAGTTCAACCAGGCCAAGTGCAAGGTCCTGCTCCTGGGCCGGGGCAACCCCCAGTACCAGCACAGACTGGGGGATGGATGGGTTGAGAGCAGCCCTGCGGAGAAGGACCTGGGGACACTGGTGGGTGACAAGTTGGATGTGAGCTGGCAACGTGCGCTTGCAGGCCAGAAAGCCAACTGTATCCTGGGCGGCATCACAGGCAGCGTGGCCAGCAGGTCGAGGAAGGTGATTTTCCCCCTCTGCCCTGGTGAGACCCCACCTGGAGTGCTGCGTCCAGCTCTGGGGTCCCCAGCACAAGACAGACATGGACCTGTTGGAGCGGGCCCAGAGGAGGCCACGGAAACGGTCAGAGGGCTGGAGCATCTCTGCTATGAGAGATCTGGGGTTGTTCAGCCCGGAGAAGAGAAGGCCCCAGGGAGACCTTATTGCGGCCTTTCAATACTTAAAGGGGTCTTATAAGAAAGACGGAGAGAGACTTTTTACGAGGGCCTGTAGTGACAGGACAAGGGGCAATGGTTTTAAACTGAAAGAGGGTAGGGTTAGACTGGACAGAAGGAAGAAATGTTTTATGATGAGGGCGGTGAGACAGTGGACCAGGTTACCCAGAGAAGCTGTGGATGCCCCATCATTGGAAGTGTTCGAGGTCAGGTTGGACGGGGCTTTGAGCAACCAGATCTAGCGAAAGATGTCCTTGCCCACGGCAGGGGGGTTGAACTAGATAGTCTTTGAAGGTCCCTTTCTCAACTCAAACCATTCTGTGATTCTAAAAGTGGTCTTTCCCTGTCTGCCTTAGGTCATGGTCCTGACCGGGCTCTTGCTCTCCCATACCTGCTGGAACAGCATTTGGGTAGTTGGGACTTACAGAAGGTGATGGTAGTGGGATGTCATGTTAGCAAGCAACTCCTCCAGCCCCAGGGTGGCTAGGTCCGTGGCCTGGAGCTGCGCTGGGACCTCGTCCCTGCATTAGTGCTGCCGGGGCTGGGGCAAAGCCTGAGGTTTGGCAGCTCAGGGAGGAGCCGGCTCCCTGCCCATGCCACGCGGGCTGTCATTCCAGAAAAAGGCATCAGAAATATCCTGTATGAGCTTCCACACTCCAAAAAAGTGCAGTTTTTCTGGTGTTGCAGGCATTACTCAGGGCTGCTTGTGTGGCTGCTCTGCGGGCAAGGTGAGTGATGCGACTGTGGGCAGATGCTGCCGACTGAGCCAGCTTGTCCAGCCACAGCCCCCAGGCACTCTGGTGGTGGCAATCCCAGTTGGTCCTGCGTGACTGGACACGGCCTGGGGAGTGCAGCAATGCGGAGCTGGTGGGGCTTGAGCAGCCCAAGTGGCAGATGGGTGACGGTCACTAAGGGTGCTCGATGACCTGTGTGTGCGTGGACCATCACAGGAGCCCTCACCAGTGCCGTGCTGCATTTGCATAAAGGTTTCAAAAACATAAAGGTTGCAAAAAGAAGTTACTGAGCACCCCAGCACGGAAAGTGCCTTCCCCTCCCCTTTTCCTGGCCCTGGGTTTGTTTTTGCATCTTGCATGGGACAGGCAGCTGGAGCTGGAGGCAGGTTTTGTCCCACCACCACGCAGGGTCCGGCCATGCCGGCCGTGGGAACCCAGCGTGCTGCTGCTGCTGGGAAGTCCAGAGGGGAGAAAAACAGCCATCCCGGATGCAATACGTGGAGTTGTCCATGTTTGCAATTTCCTGTGTCAGTGCAGCCTTTAACCTGACTCACAGCCTGGTTTTACCTCCCAGAATAAACCCTTCCACTCAAAAAATACTGGTGAAGGTACCGAAGGCCCCAGGGCCGGGGGGAGCAGGGGGTTATGGCCAGCCCCAGTCCCTGCTGTGAGTGTGGGGATGGGGCGTGAGCTCTGTGTTCTGCCACCGGTGTCCCTCCCCACACCGCTGGCTCTTCTCCTCTGGCTCAACTGAGTATGAAATCCTGACATCCTGTGCTGCTGCCACTGTCCCTTTGCAAAGCCACCTCCTGGTGTGGACAGGGACCCGGGTGTCTGGCAGTGGATCTTTATGTGCAGGCAGCGGGGCAGAGATGGGCAGGTCCCATGCCTGTCCATGTGGCCGGGGCACCACGGGATGCTGGCTGCCTGGCCGTCATCCTCCATCCTCGTGTGCCCGGGTGACACCTTCTGTCACCCGGCAGGGTGACCAGCGGCCATGACGACGGAGACGGGCCCCGGTTCGGAGGTGAAGAACACGCAGGAAGAGGCTCCGCAGCAGCAGCTGGAGATGGCTGC